ACATTTGTCATGGATCAAAGTGAATGTGAAATTTCCGAGCTGGTAAATAATGCTACCATTTTACCCTAATGTTTAAAGCACGCACAAGCATTTCCAACTTATTGAGGGATTGCTTCTCACCATTCCTGCCTAATGAGCAATTGGTTTCAGATTAACTCCAGCAAAAAAAACGTTCAACATGTTTTTCTTCCATGATGCTTCGTAGCCCATTCAATTGGAACGGCTCTTCAGCACCCTGAGGCTATCACAGCTGAGATCTTGTTCCATTTACTCTGAAAAGCACCAACGGCAATATTAAAACTAAACTCCCATAAAAGTGCAAATGCTATCAAGTATTGATTTTTTTGAAATGTTTAAAAAACTTTTCCACAAATGCAGAAATTCCCTGCATATATTTCAGGCAGTGCAACAAAGTTCAGAAGCATGAAATTCTGAATGAATTATCCAAACCCCAAAATAGCTAAAAATATCTATTAACTGCTTTAGGCCCAATATTGTCAAACAGTTGCCTCGCAATAGAAGCTTTCTTTCACTTGGCATTTATTCATGTGCATCTCCTTGGAACATTAAATTACACATGCTGGATTAAGATTACAATCTTAAAAAGAAGCTGTAAACTCTACCACTAGTTGTTATTCTAAATACTGCAATAATAATTAAAAAAATACCTTCTTGACAATTTAACAAGAAACAGATAAGGACAAAGAAATTTGGCTGCATTATATCCTTGCATTTGATATTATCATTCTGCGTGAAACACTGTGTACATACTGTACTGAAATATTTTCAAGTTGGCAAGCTGGAGGAGATATTAGATATTATAAAATGAATTACTGCAGTTACACTGAACCTCTGCCGAATAGATATTAGGAAATATCGCTGGGGCAAAGGGTGTACAAAGATGTCAAAATATTCCTAAACAAAAAGTTCTCATTTGTTGCAACTCTGATGCACAACATGAGAATGAACAATATGTTTCCAGCATTTTTTTTGTTTATTATTGGCAGAACTCTAAACAACTTCAAATATTTCATGAAGGAGGGACAGGCTACAGCTGCAACACCAGGATTTGTCACACCAGCAAGCTCGAGATTCGTAAACTTTATAGGACTAAATCAACTAAAATATCTGAAATCAGATCAATCAAAAAGTTAGGTAAAAAGCAAGGATTACACAAACCATTAAAAGACTCGGATTTCATTGGTATTTGCAACACAGCAGAACTCAGCTGTGCACAGCAAGCCACAAGCGCAAACCAGCTGCTTCCACACATAAAAGGAGAGTGGTAATAAGGAGCCTCATCCACAGACCATTCTCTCTCACCTCCAAACAGATGCTTTCTGACCAATGTGTAGAGGCCTTAAAACAGGTTGGTCTGGTCACCCAGCCGCAAAAATTGCAACACACAGTCACATTGAGGAGGGAAGAAAATATTTACTCTACTTCTCAGCTGTTGAAACAAAGGACCATCAGCAACAGAGGACATGTTAAGCACTCTTCGTATCTCTCTATAGCGAGCTTTCAACTTTAAATTCAGAATTTATTTTAATTAGGACAGGTTCACAAAATTTCTTACCATGAGCCTCATGCAATTTTCCACAAGCAACATGAAGCTTGCGAGATAGTAGTCTCAAACCAATTGATTTTGATTCATATCCCCCCCACCCGAATACTCTACATTTGAAGTGATGAACTGGTTATTGTATTTAGTTGTGACAGTTTAAGAATGTTTGGGCAATGCTTTACTGTTTATTTATAAAATATCAAAAAGGTGCAAATAAGTCACAGTGGCATGCACACAAGTTTGTGGCAGTAAACAAACTTCAACTCTAATAGCTACCCATGTAATTTGTTTGTTTATTGATGTAGAGCTGAAATATAAACACTAAACAATTCCTCTCAGACCAATTGGAGCATAAAAGATTAGACCATGGCAAAAAGCAAGTTAATTTCAATTTGTAACAGTTTGGAAACAAACATTTTAAACATTTATTGTCAGATTACTATAACCATATACATCTGCACATCTCACTCAGTCCAAAAACACTAGATATTCTGGATACTCATCAGACACCGCAGTGTTAGAAAGTAACATTTTACAATAAACTATCAAAGCTTCAACTTTGGTATTCAAAATATTTGGCATTAAGGCATTACATAAAATAATGTCAAAGGCATTACCAGAACTGAGGAGAAGCTCCATGTTGCTTTGATTTATATTGAGACATTACAGCAAGAAACTAAAATGCACTGTGAGAAAACAGATGTTATACTAGAAATTAGCCTAATCTTGTAAATGCTCACCTCGTGTTTAGCATGCCAGATTTGGACTGAACTTCACAGGCTTGTTCAGCTTTAACACAGTTCAGGAGACCTGTTAAATCTTGGACCTTTAAGGGTAAAAAAAAACTGCAACAGAATTGTACCCAGTCCCAACTGTCTCACAATAACATCGTTTTTTAAGGGATTTAAAAATAATACTAATAATACTAAGCGCACCAAACTTTCGCTAGTGGTTATTTTTTAAGTCACCCGAGACTAAATAGATTACAAAACCACTGCAAATTGAACCTTTTAAAAAAGGTTAGTTCTACACAGAAGAGACACTGACATAAATTGAATTGCTTGATACCCTCTCCTGCCCTCCCGCCCCCACCTGCGTTCATCCTCTAAAATTGATAACACAAATTGCAAGACTATTTCCTCCAGATGTGGCTGCACACACCACACACTTCAAGATCCTCACACTTGTGTTCAATTCCCTTCACTCTCTTGCACCTCCCTACCTCTCCGTCCTCCTCACTCCCCATTCCACCGCCCGGCACCTCCGCTCAACTGGCATCGGCCTCGGTTAGTCCCTCTCACCCTCGCCCCACCATCGCAGTTTGCGCTTTCAGCCACTACGCCCCGAAATACTAGAACACTCCCTCAATGCCTCCACCTTGCCCCCTTTCTCCCCTCCCCTATGAGTGCAAGTTGTTGTTGCTGTTAAGTGACGAGCAGAATATTGCTCTGGCTTTAAAGCTGTCGATTTAGAGATGCGCGAGTAATTTAAATGTGTGTCAACCTGGTGCAGTGGTAGCACTACAGCCTTTGGGTCAGAAGGTTGTGGGTTCAAGCCTCATCGGGACTTGGAATCACAGTCGAAACTGACACTCCAATGTCGGTGTAGGGTTGGGGAAAGGGGGGGGGGTGGGAGTGTGTTGCAGTCTTGGAGGTGCCGTCCTTCGGATGAGACGTTAAACTGAGGTCCCACCTGCCTGTTCATGTGGATGTTAAAGATCCTATGGCATTATTCGAAAAGAGACGGGCGTTTCTCTCTCTCTCTCTCTCTCGGTGTCCTGGCCAACAATCCTCCAAGTAAAATCGGTCACTCATAGCGTGGGCGATTGCGGGACACTGCTGTGCGCAAACTGGCTGCCGCAGGTACACAGTCACTTTACAGGACATCCTGAAGCGCTTTGAGAGAGAGTCTCGAAAGGCGATATAACAAATGCAACGATTATTATTATCATCATCATCCTTACCTGAAAACGCATACAAGTTCGGTTATTATACACTTATATATATATATAAAAACACAGACACACACTTAAACCGATGAGGAAACTAACAAGCCCTCCCCAGTGGCACAGACCCTGGGGAGCGGTGGTGGTTGTGGGGGGGTCAGGCCACCCTCCAGTTAGTTAGTTAGTTAGTTAGTGTAGTTAGTTAGAGGAGCACCAGCCCCGGGCCGCCTGCAGGCTCCCCCTCCCTCTCGCTGCCGGTGACTGACTGACTGACGCTCGCGCGATAAACGTTGAAGAAGAACCGAGCGTTTACCACAATAACAAGACTCCCCCCCGACCCCCTCCCCACCACCCACCCTCCCCCCACACCCCCACCCCCACACACACACACACCACCCCCCACACACACACACCCTCCCCACACAACCCCCCCCACACACACACAACCCCCCCCACACCCTCCCCACACACCCACCCTCCCCACACAGATACACATAACCTCCCCCCCACACACACACCTCCACACACACCCCCCAGCCACACACAACCCCCCACCCACACAACCCCCCACCCACACAACCCCCCACCCACCCACAACCCACCCACACCCCCCCCCCACACCCCTCCCCACACACCCACACACACAACCTCCCCCCCACACACACACACACAACCCCCAACCACACCCCCTCCCCACCCACACACAACCCCCAACCACCCCCCCCACCCACACACAACCCCCAACCACACCCCCTCCCCACCCACACACAACCCCCAACCACCCCCCCCACCCACACACCGTCCCACACACACAACCCACCCACACCCCCTCCCCCACACCCCCTCCCCACACCCCCTCCCCCACACACACACCCCCACACACACAACCCCCCCCCCCACACACACACACCCTCCCCACACACACACCCCCACCCACAACCCCCCCACCCACCCACACACACAACCCCCTCCCCCCCCCCACACCCCCACACACACACACCGCTCCGGCCCGGGCCGCCCGGCCGCGAGCACCACATGTGAGGGCAGACAGTTACAGCCATTACAATCCAACACACACACACATATATATATATACAGTTATATATGTGTCTGGATGTGTATATATATATATATTTATATTTTCAAACACACACACACCGCCTGGCGGCCGGAACCCGTCACCGGCATTTGTCAGTCAAGGAAGACGAGTATTAAAAGGCAACGCTGTGAGGTGTTTGTGTGTGTGTTTATATATATATATATGTGTGTGTACACACACACGCGGTGACCAAAAAGTCGTGATAACTACTCTTATTTACCTAAACACACACAAAAAAAACATAATTTATTTAAGACTTATTAGACATCGTAAAAAGGTATCACGACTTTTTGGTCATCATATGTGATATATAATATATATATATATATGTGTGTGTGCGTGTAATATATTTTTATGTAAAACAAGATCATCTCCCCGCGGTCACCACTCACCGGCAGCTCTCGCTCTCTCTCTCTCTCAACCGGCGTCTCGGCCTCCCCCGGAGTCTCCTCCCAAACGGCCGCCGTTTCCATGCACCTCACACCCGCCGAGGCGCAGGATGGACCGCCCCCGGTCCTGCCCACGTGACTGACCCGCCCAAAGCCGCCCAGGCTTCGCCAGCCGTTTGAACCACACACACACACACACAGACGCACAGACACACGCGCGCGCAATCCGAAAGCCCGCCCAATACGAGCCCAAAAGTAGCCCCAATCTCTGTGGCTGGATACGCCCCGGGTGGGGGGGGGAGGGGTTAAGGAGAGTGACCCGATTTTGGTCAGTGCTTTTTTTTTTTGGAAACCGTGCGCGTACAAGAATCACGAAAAGGAAATTTTTTTTTTAAAAAATCGGCAGGTTTCATTTTTTTAAAAAAAATCCGTCTTAAAGCCGCGGTATTTCACGCAACGCCGCGCGCGGGCGCACACACACACACACACACACACACGCGCGCAAAACACGCCCGATTGGGCGGGGTGGGGGCGGGGGTGAACCCGCCCCAATCTGGCGCCAGCGGACTTCCTCCTCCTCCTCCTCCTCCGGCATCTGCGCGTGCGCCGCCATGTTAGCCCGCGCCCAGGCCGAAGGGAAGGGAGTGCCTGGTTACCATAGCAACGGTCAGGAGCGGGAGTCCAGGCTGCGCGGCCTGTCCCTCCCTCCCTCCTTCCCTCCCCCCCCCCTCTCGGACATGTTCTCAGTGGACGCAGAGCTCGAGCGCACGGTCCCCGTCTTGTTGATCGCCACCATCTTCGTGTTGTTTCTGCTCAGCAACTTATTACTGTTGTACATGATGCCGGTCAACATGTTCAGCCGCTCGCCTCTGGCCGTGCGGAGGGGCTGACAGACAGACACACACACACACACACACAGAGAGAGAGAGAGAGGGAGAGGATTTCACTTCAGTTTATTTCCTTTCAGGTGAGGACTAGTTATGTTGTTGAGGGTTATATGTATATATGTTTATTCTATATTTTTATTAAAATGTTAAACGGTTTAATATCGTGTCGGGAGAGGGGGTGGGGGGGGAGTCGCAGAAGGATAAAAATTATACACAATAAAATACACAAACCCTTTCGCCAACACCCGCAAAAAATAATATTGCGTTCGCAAAGTAGTTTGCGGACATCGAAATAACCTCCGAATTCATCCTATTTACTCCCCCCTTCACTGGGAGTCAGAAGAGCAAGACCCCCACACTCCCTTTTATATAGGGTTATATACTCAGCTCTCTCCCCCCAATCCCATCCCAGGTATTATTATTATTATTATAGGTGTGTGTCGTTGAGTTGTCAGGATCCCTCCCTGTTTGGTACAATTTACCTGTTGTTTTATCTATCCATGTCACGCACTTTTTTTGTGTGTTGGTACAAAAAATCATCATCCCCTTGAGTTGTTGGAAGTGGACCAACATAAATAACATGGGGAGCAAGAATATGCCTGGTCGTTTTGGAAGCTTTCTTCCAAATATAACCCAAATAGAAGTGTTTTTATATATATTTATGTCTTATATATATATATATATTGGACAAGTGAGAGTCTGGCTTGTGGAAGCTGTTTCAGTAACTTGAATTTATTGTAACGCCTTTCAATCCACGACCGTTTGTGGGACGCTGCCGTGTGCAGTTGGCTGCCGCGTTTCACCCACAAATAGTCAATTCGCTTTACAGTCTATTCTGTGAAGCGCTTTGGGACGTCCCGAAGACATGAAACGCGCTGTATCAAATGCAAGGATTATTATTATTATAAGTGGGGAACCGTCTCGACATGCTTTACAGAGACACGGTGGGAGACGTGGGGTAGGAGGGAAGTCTCTGAAAGTGCAGTGACGAGGTAAATTTTTAGACTGGTTTTAGAAACTCCCAATGGGTAACCGGAATCTATTGAAGGGCAGCGGTTTTAAATTTGTAATGGCGTTCTTTTTTTTCGCGGTGTTTCGTGCAAAAAATAATCAGATACTTCTAATGGAAACTTGTTACTCTCAGGAATGCTCAATATGTAACCTACAAGAGGAAGAAGTTGAGTTTTAAAAAAATATATTTTATGTGCATAGTCTCAGATGTGTAGTTAACAGAGAGACGCACAGAGATTACAAACCTGACAAGTTCATGTACAAAATACACAATCATGACATTTTACAATAAATCCTGTGAAGCACTTTGAGACACCCTCCCAAGGTGAAAGGTGCTATATCAAATGCAAGGAGTTATTCATTCTTATTAGATCTTAAAGTTGTTGAACATTTCTGTGATTTATCTTGCAAGAATGTATGAAAATTCTGACATTTTTAAAAAAATAAAGCTTTTGTATAAAAAGTGAGTTGTATGCTTTTTTTTTCCAGGCGATGTGTACATCTTGAGTCTTCAACATGCATCCTACCCGACTCATACATTTCACACTTCGTTCTGACTATTTGCTGTGATGAGTGTTGTATAATTGCTTTTAAACAAAAATCAATTTTGTTAATCATCAGATCATTTTAGCAGCAATCATTCGATAGATCAGCAACTCTTAACACGTGAGGTAAAAGAGTATAATTGTGATGGATGTTGTCATATAAACAAATATGTAACTGAAAAAANTCAAAGCTAAATAAAACAATAGAGTAAGAAAATAGAAACGGTAAGCAGAAGTGCTAAAGATATTTGGCTAAACTGAAAAACGAAGTCAGGATACGGGTGAAATTATGGCTTGAGTTCCAGTATTTTCTGTCAGAATGTAGCTTTGTTTGACAAAGTTGACCACCACCCGGAAAAACTGTTTCTGCTCATTTCATGAGTTATTTCAACTAATTTATTTTTTTTATATAAAAAGAATCCTTAGCTTTTTATGTCATTAACCTTTTGTTGATAATTTATCTAATTTCCCTGCTTGTAATACATGAACAAGAAAGCCCTACAGAGATACAATGACTGGTTTCCAGTAACATATATATTACATTTGCATTTCTTCAGTTCAGTCAACATTCACTGCACTAGGTGGCACTCTATACCATAAATTGATGAAGCACCTCTTCAAGCATCTCAAATGATATTCACTTCACTTTCATTAGTTTAATTGCATAGCCTGCTTTTCTTCTGCTTCCACATACAACCAACCCCCTCTATATTTTCAAGGTCATGTCCTTTTATTCACTTTGCTTTACATAAACTGATTCCTCTAGTAATTACTAAAACTTACTGTTGCATATCTACTGGGACAAATTAATTGCATGAGCAGCTCAGAAGTGGATTGGGAGAGGTGTTTTCTCTAATGTTTTAAATGAAGCACTGATGAGGATCCTAATATCCACCAATAATCTGCTATTCCTCGTCCCTATCAGTTTCAACAGTTCAGCGACTGAATAATGGCCAACAATGATGTACAATGTGCTGAAATAAATTCACCTGTTTTCTGTTTCAGGACATTATGGACCTTCTGGGCCATGTATTTTGGTATCTTTGATCCAATCGGTTCTTATATACTCAGTAACCTGAATTGACCACAGGCATGGATTATACACTGTGCCAAAATATATTTTGAAGGTTGCACATGATGTGGCTGCACTCTAGATGACTAAGGAGTATTTGTCATCATTGCGGTATCAGTTCATCTCAGTTGACAGCACTCTTCCCTCTGAATCAAAAGGTTGTGTGTCCAGGCCACAATCTTGAGATTTTGATCTTGCAGTCTAGGTTGACACCAGTGCAGTAATGAAGAGCTCTCAATTGTTAGAGATGACATCCTTTGGATAAAATGTTAAAAATCAAGCTCCCTTTTGCTTGCTCAGGTGGATGTTAAAGTTCCTGTGACACTATTTGAAAAAGAGAAGGGAGATTCTCTCAGCATCCCGTTTAATAATCTTCCAGATCAAACTGGTCGTTTCATTGCATAGCTGTTTGTGGGACCTAGTGCACACAAATTGGCTGCCATGTTTGATTGCAAATACACAGTCACTACACTTGATAACCATCACCTGGAAAGTAGTTGGAGAGGTTTTATTGTGCCTTGCACCAGGCTCCATGACACTATCACCCCCCCCCCCATCCTCGACCGGCTTCCTATCCCCCAGATGAAAGTTAAAAATCCTCGTCCTCGCCTTCAAAGCCTTCCATGACCTCGTTCCTACCTCTGACCTGCTATCACCACATTGACCTGTATGCTCCCTCCGCTCTGCTCCATATCCCCGCCCCACCATCGGCAATTGGGCCTTCAGCCTCTTTGCTCATCCCATCGCCTTGCTCCTTCTCTTGCCTCCTTCAAGACACATCTCAAAACCCTTCTCTTCAACCGTGCCTTTGGTCACCCTCTTACTCTGAAATGGAAATATCAACCGGGTGTTCTGCTCCTGCTTGCTGTTACGTGATGCCTGGAAAATGGGCATTCGGTGAGAACAGGATTGAGCTAGTTGTGATGCACCTGACCGCCCCTCCACCCCCCTCAATAGTTTTGCAACACTCAATTATTGGTCTCAAAATGGCTGCTTGAGAACAAAACTAGAATATTGTCGGTCCCTGTCAAATGATATCCTTGTAAGGAAGTGGAGGTGAAAAATTGGCAACAAAAAATACAGTCCTTAACGTGAAAAAAAGTAATTTGCATTCAAAAGTGTACAACCCGGAAAGAACTGTTGCAAAAGAATAAACAAACTGAAAAGAATTGAAAAGTTTAAACTCCATCATGACAGAGCCATCAAATACCAAACAGCAAAATCAAATGCAACCAAGTGTAAATTTTATCAACTTACTTTTACGTAACAAGAAAAGGCCATGAGATCCAATAAAACCCTTACAATAAATCTTACACCCCAACTACACACATATTGGCATTGGCCATGAATACCTTCCCTCCCAAAATGTATCCATTCCTCTAGTGCATATATTCGAATTAATAATACTTGAATTTGATATGGCGACTTACCACATCATCGAGACGACTCAAAGCGTTCACAGGATATACTGAGTATTTTGGGATGAAAATTAGGTAATTAGGTAGCTATGTTGACATATTTTTAACGTGTAGTCACTGGGTAGCTCAAGAATGGGAATTCTGGCTAATTCCCCCCTTATCCCAAGAACAGGGTTGCTTTGCGCAATTTCGCAACCCATCTCAGCTTTAAATTATATCCA